AGAACATTCTTTGCTAGCTTGATGCTAATGGCAGTACTCAGCGGGTTGATAAAGTGCCTCTGCTGTTTCCTTTTTACTCTGTGTGCTAACGTCCCCACAGGAAATATCTGAAAGGCTGGGCTGTTGTTGTCCTACAGTTTCCATGGCAACAGATCGCTCTGTGTTCCTATTGGTCAAAATGACGGCTGTGACGGGAGAAGAAAATCAAACATGCAAGCCTTTCTGTGGGGACGTCGTGAGGCGTCTCAGATGTGGCATCAGTTGTCGTTAATTATGACACACTACACAAGCAGGATGTGATAGCAAAAAAAAAAAAATCCTAAGCCTGAATTTTTTTCCAGGTTGAGGCACGAGGAATGGGTCATCATTCCCCCGTATTGACGTATTACAAAAGTGGACGGCGATAAAACGGCGAGAGCGAGGCGGCTGCAGTTTTTAGAGCCAGGCGCTGCAGTTGCTCTCCACCGACTGCACCGCCTGGCTCTCACCTGATCTAACAGCTGATTGGTTCAGATGTCGACCCAACAAGATGACGTTTAGATAAACTTTTTGTTGAATTTCAGAGATTTAAATTGTATTTGTCTGATCTGAAGGTTTATTCTGTGACAGAAACATGTTGTGTGACTGATGAAGGTGAAGTTCATAAACCACACAGAGTCTACTGTGTATTAACACTGTTTAACATCACAGACTGGTGGTCAGTGGGATGTGAGGACTCTAAACTAACATGTGTACAGATGTGAAGCCCTGACTGTATTTGACTGAGCCTTAATGAAAGCTGTTGTCTTGTATAAAATATGAAGCTTACAGTCTCTGTTGCCATGGCGACAGGTCAAACTGATATGATGCTGATTTACAGCAGAGTTCATGAACCATGAACATAAACTACAGATCACCTGTAAATCATTTTAATAAATTAATCTATCATAATAAAAACAACTGGAGACTGAGAACAAACTGATATATGAGTCTGATCACTTTAATGAATTGACATCATTCCAGACAGGATGTGAGTGTGTCTGTGACTTCTTGTACGGACTGAAGGCTGCTGGAAACTGTCGGGAAACTGTCCGACTTCACCGCAGCTTTTTGTCAACCCCCCCCCCCCGCTGCAGCCGCCTGCTCTCGTCTACTGTCCAGGCGAGGCGCAGTTCATCTCCAACGAGCCTATTAACAAGACAACGCGGTCTGTCAGCGGTGACTGCGGCTCCTGGTAAACGCGTTACGTGTTTTATTGCACGCACAGCGGCTTTATGAGCGGGGTCTAATTCATGCTGTGATAGGACTGTCTTGCCGCTGGTTGCATACATCAATTTATGTGTCCGTCTGTGCCTCTTCTAGCCACGCCCAACGCCATTTAATTTTGAGTCCTTTATCGACTATCAGGACGTTTTCCCAGGTTTCATTAACTTACTTTGCATCTTGATGAGAGAGTCTACGGCACGGGCTCCACTACAATCTGAAGTTGGCTCTGAACCAAATCTGTTCCTGCCCCCAAGACCTGCCCCCGCTCTACTTCTGATTGGCTAGTAGCCTAACTTTGGTCTGGTTGAGAGCGAGAGGTCTCTGTTTAAACTGTCTGCGACACCGCACACATATATCCCACATCAACTTTTTTTTTTCCCCTGGCCACACGCCGGAAATCCGGCACGGTGCCGGATGCCCATCACCCCTGCATGAGATGAAACCATGGATTATGGTGGACAACACCCATTGTCGTTCACGATGTGAGCCGACACCGTATGATGCCATGTCAGGCTGTGGTCAGGCTGATATCGTGGAGTCTGTTACATTCAGGTTCTTCATCTGATTATTGACATTTGCAAAGGATGAAATGAGTGACGTCCCCGCGACGTCTCTTGACAGCAGAGAACACTGTGACAGCTTGGATGTTGGATTTGTTCTCGGTGAGCCTCCATCATTACTGAGTCTGAGTGTTTGTGAAGAGAACTGCCTACAACGTAAAAGCATCAAAGACCATTCAGACATAGGACGAATCCTCTCACTCGTCTGATTGGACAGCATCGGGCTCTGTGGCGGCACATCACTAACTCTATGAACAGTGGTGTAGATGTGTTACCGGGCAGAGTCCGCAGGGCGTCCTGACGAGGCCGGTGGGTTGGATGACAGCGTTGACACCACGGTAAAGTTTCATCTGTCCATCCACGCTACCCACAGTTCCCTCCTTGGCGGCGATGACAGTCATCTCCACCTTCCCGTCATAGATCAGCGTGTTCAGGATGGTCTCGATGTCGTCCATGGACAGATCCACCTGCAGTCAAACACCTGTCAGTTAACCTGAGAGTGACGGCAGTAGAGTCAAAAACCAGCTCTGACGTGACCTGAGTCACATTCACATACAAAGTAAAACATGCGGATCAGCAGGTCAGTGTCTGTGGTGTGTGAGGTCATAAAAGGGGGCGTGACTGTGACAGCATCACCTTGCTGATTCCCAGCTCACAGATGTACTTCCAGACTTCATGCGAGGTGGCGAAGGAGCTGTTCCTCTGAACCATGGGACTCTGTTTGCTGTCTCTCGCTGCTTCAGCCTGAACACACAACACAGTCATGTGACCAACAGAAACATCTGAACCATCAGCAGCTGACCATGTGACCCAACAGGACGTGTCGTCATGAGCAACAGAGCGAGTGAGCTTTGATAGCATTTCTAAAAAAAAAACGTTAGCTTAAGGTGAAATGGTTGTTGACTCTGCTGCAGGGCAGAGAAAACAGTGCGACAGTGGCAGCAGGATGACCCTTTTATGGTCGGAGTCACGATGACATCACAGTGACATCATGTGATCAGCTGGAGGTGCAGCTGCCTCTCCCCCACAGGGCTGTAGGCTACACAGGAGTGTTAAAATGTGTTTGTCTTGTTGTGTTATTGGGAGCCAGAATAGAAGGAGTCATGGCTCAAAACCAGCCGCCACTGCCCGTCAACAAAAACAAAGACAACTATGGTTAAATGTGATAAGACCAAAGGACTGGACGGAGGCCATCATCAAAAATGCTCACATGTGCAGCGCACACTTCATATCAGGTTAGGGAAAAAGTATTTCCTGTTGTAGGGATGAATAAGGTTATGTGTATTAAGGGTTATCATGTCCACCTCATCAGAAACTGGGGAGGGATTAAGAGGAA